CAGTTGATTCCAGTTTGTCGTAAACACTTGGGTACTGCCCGTCGCTAGCTAAACACCCGCTAACTAAATCCCGCAGTGCTGCCTGCTTAAAGAGACAGGAGTTAAAACAGAACCATTAATATGCTGTTGAACTTAAAAGCAGGTGAAAATGTTCCAGTCGAGCTCCAACAAATACGTTTATGAGCTCATAGGCGTTCAGAATATGGGTGAAGATGCCATCGGATTTTTTTTCCTGCCGCTCGGGGTTTCGTGCCAACAGAAGACTCATCGTTTCCCTTCGGGGCCTCCAGACTCGTTTTCGTGCCTGGCCGATGACGGCTGGCGAAGACGCCGGCGTTTCGGGGCAGCTAATTGTCCCGACACCTTCACGGGATTTTAAAAACGGGTATGCTCTCTGAGAAAGGGAAAAGAAACAACAGGTTTACAGGTTCAAGGCACGGCGGGGATCCTGCTTTAAATCCAGGAATGCCCGCTTGGCCCCGTTTAAACTTCCCTGTAGTTCACGCTGAACCTATACATCAGGTGTGTCCTCCGGAAACCGCCACAACAAACAGCTTCCTCACAGCGCAGGTCACAGTGTTCCACATCAACAAAGCCGTCTGCTGCCATTTGGACTGCGTTAGGGAACAGCATGCCGGAGATGCTGGAGAACATTTCTTGCTGAGGAGGACCCTGACCGAGAGGAATTTCAATTTGGAGAGAAATTCAGCGCTCGTAAATAGTAAAGGAAAAACTGAGGCTGCAACGCCTTCGACAAGGTTTATGCAACAGGCGGGACTGGAATTCAAAATCCTGCTGTTTTTCCACCGTTTTATAATTGTGGAGGAGGTGTGGCTGAAAACAGATCACCGTGATGGAACAAGAAGGAAACAACATGCTGGTTTGTTTATTCGTTTATTGGATGTCGACGGAGCGTTCACATCAACACGACTCTTCAACAAGCACAACGTGAGGCGGCTTCCAACATGCTTCCTGTAGGCGTCGGCTCGTCGCACTTCTTTGGATGAAAACGATGATTTAAAGGTCCCACATGGAGGAAATCGGTTGGTGTTTGTACGACTCTTGATCTTGGAGGGTCAAAGTAAAGACATGAAGAAGTTTACCTCCGCCATTCCTCAAGTCCCCGCGCGACTAGATGGCCTCTTAGTTTTACAACTAACCAATAGTGTTCCAGCTTTACGTAGCCCCGCCCCCTCACTGCTTCCAGGTAAACCAATCAGAATACAATCTACCAGGTTTAGCTACTCTCTGCTTCTAGACTCCAAAACGTCTGACGTAAGAGTGAACACAAGCGTCGTCATGCACTGACCGCATCCGAGGAAATAAAGCAATCATTGGTGTTAATGACGGGAATGTCCCCCACAACTGTTAGCATGCTAATGTTAGCATCGATCGCATGTCCGAACCAGTAAACAAGGACTGGGTGGGCTAACTTCGTATCCGTTAGCTTCCTGCTCTCGGTGCTATTTTAACATCAGCTGAACTCACGATAAAGCCGCTTGCATTTACACATTTTCCCGAAGCGACTCATTCAGGCAACACGTTAGCTTAGCAGCAGTCGCTTCATTTCCAAGCAGCAAAACACAGCTTTTATTACGTCGTCAGACAAATTAGCCTAACCCAGGAGTTAAAAACGGATAATTTACGCATAAATTTAGACGATAGGAAGTCCTGCGGCTGTGACCAATCACAGACTCCGAGTGAGTCTTCTTCCTGAAGGGGGCGGGGCCAGCGAAACTTAAAGCTACAGACACTGAAACCAGGAATAGGTAAAATTAACCCTTTTTGTGGCGTTTGGAGCTGAAAAAATGAACAAACACACCGTCGGGACACGTGAGACTGATTGATTTGTGGAAACAGCGAACGACATGGGACCTTTAAATGTCTGCAGCGCTCCACGATGCAACCAGCGTGTACGTCACCTGTGTTTGCACCAGCTCAGTCAGAACCAGCTCTGAAGGCCAGTTCATGGTTTCCACAAGGACCCGTTAAAGCTGCCGTCCACGATGTCCACAACATCCAGGCTGCAGATGAGACAAATCAAAGACACATGCTGGACGTGAGGAGAGGCTCCGTTACAATCCACCATTAGCAGCGTTTTAATTGAAGCCGTCGCAGCAGGACTCTGGAGGCTCTTTGATTCGAACATGCTTTCCGTCGACGGAGCCCAAACACAGTGGGAAGTTCTGAAGTCTCCAGAGATCCCGTGTTGCGTCCACCCACTGCGCTCCTCAGGATTAATCGCTCACTAACTGCTTTGTCCTGTGAAAAAAAAAGCAAATTACAGCCTTGCAGACAGATCCACAGGAGCGCCATGTGTTGTTTTAGTGCTCGACGTGAGAACCGACGCGAACGCAGAGCGGATCATTGGTATTTTATGACCAGAACCACATTTGGATCCACATCGGTCATGTGGAAACCATGAAATGGCCTTTAAATCCCTTCATCATTACAATCACACAAACTGTTGCCGTAAGTCACCGGAGCACCAAACGTGGATGAATCCGCCGCTGAAGATAGTCCCCAAAGAAAAGCTCTACTTCCTGTTTCTGATGATTTATAGTGAAAACAGAATATTTAGATCCTTTGTTTGTGAGTGAAGGACGTCAGGATGGAGGAGAAATCAGCTTGTTTTCTGTCTCCGGTCCATGATGCTGCCGCCGCCGTGCCGCTCACATATTTAACACTCTTCTTACCAACACTACGTACAGTTTATTCTTATACTTATAAACCATATTTATTTTCAGACATGGTCCGTCGGAGACACACAGGAGTAGAAAACAAATAAAAGACACATTCTGAAGGACAGACGGCTGATCTCAGGTCAGGTCCTGTGAGCGGCGGGCCGGACCAGAGCCGGAGTGGCGAGAGCAGCGCTGGTGCCGGATCGGACCCCTAACCGCCAACAACAGGACTTTAAACTGACCTGGATCCTCTCTCTCAGTTTCTCTTTTTTTTAAACCAATCAGCAGCTTGAAAACGCGTCAGGTGACCGAGGGAGGGGGGGCCGCCGGCACCTCTGCCTCCACAAAAACCAGGAAGTGGTGCGGAAGCCGGCCAATGTCCTCGCTCCGTTTCCAGCCGGCCGAGACGCGACCGGGCCTGGCCCCTCCCCTCGCCCCGGCGCTGGTGGAGAGCCGGGCTGCGATTGGTGGAAGTGTGTGGGAGGGGGCGGGGCTCACTGCTGCTTGGAGCGCCAGAACCGCGACGTGATGGATCCGAGCGAGAGCCCCTGCTTCTTCTGCTGCGACAGCTCGGCCAGGCGCTGCTCCTCCTCCTGCCGGCAGGAAGTCAGAGTCAGAACAAGAAGAACCAGAACCAGAACCGGACGGGTGCGTTTGCTTCGTCCACCTACCTGCGCCAGCTGAGCCTGTCGGCGCTTGAAGGCGTCGATGGGGTCGTCCTCCAGAGCGTAGTTCTCCAGAACCGAGCGGACGTCCTCCACGCCGCTCAGAGCGATGGCTGCCGGACAGAACACGGCGTTAAACAGAACTCATCAGAACATTTCACTGCTAAGGTTTCCTCCCAGAACATTTATTTGTTTGTCTGTTTGTGTCTTTCTGCTACTTTCACCTCTTTGTGGTGGTTTTATGTCTCATTTTGGTAGTTTTGCATTTTCTGAGAATGATTTTGCATCTTATGATGATCTGACCAGAAAAAGATGCAAAATCATCCCTTCGATCATCTTTTAACGTAGATGTTGGATCTTCTGGAGGCGGTTTGACGTTTTTGTGGGGATCTTGAATGTTTTTTTTGTGGTTTTACATGTTTTTCTGGCGATTTAACATATTTTTAAGA